TGCTGCTAGTTTGCATTTTATTTGTTCTTTTTGTTAGTTTATATAATTATAGTGTGTTCTTATCATTCTACTTGTATTTTTATGTTGCTTCTTCTAATTATTTTTTTATTCTCCCGCTTCTTCTATTTAGTATCAGGATTCTTCTTTGTTATGTGTATGATTTTCTTCTTGTTATTTTTGTTGTTGTTGCTGCTGTTTTTGTAGTTGGTGGTGGTGCTGCTGTCATTGTGACGTTGGTTATTGCCATTGGTGTTGTGGTTGTTGCTGTTGTTGCTGCAGTTCTTGCTGATATTGCTGCTATCTGTTGTTGACACCCCTTGGTTCACATGAGGTGCAGTTGTTGTTATTGAGGTCATAAAATTTAATGTCACTGTTACTTCGATATCCGTGTTGTTGTGAACTGGGAAACACCCAGCCTGCAACGATAGCCAATAATGAAATTCTTGTTCCCCTTGAACTTGCTGAAGGAGAGGCCACTCCCAAAGCTGTTCGCGTTGATTGTGTTATCCTTCTTGGCCTTCTTCTTTTTCTTTTTCTTGCCCTCCTCCTCATCACCCTTTGGGGGCCCTGCGACAAAGACAAGAGCTTTCTCCGATGTCAGCTGGTCGTGGGACGCATTGATGGAATGGTGGCTAACTCCAATCTTCACCTTGCAGGGGCAAGTCAACACTGTAAGAGTCAAGGCATTGAGGATCATTGAGGGATTTCATGGATACCCGTCAACATTTAAAAGAGCATCAAACACTGACGGGATCTGATGGGAATATGTTATACTGTATGCCCATGTATACCCCTAGGAGATTGTGGGAAACATATGGATCAATCTACAAAACCTTTTCATACCTTTTCCCAATTCTGGCCTCTCCCGCATCCTCCAGTTCACGGATGATGGTGCTTAGATCAGTGGGGCTGTCCACACATGGCAAGCTCTGTAAATGGTTAGGCATCCCTTTTTTCTCCATCAAGAGAATAGCGTTGACGTCAATGTGGAACGAAAACCATCGACCCTCTGGGTCACTGGAAATTTCAGTGGCTTCCTTGGTTTGGCCGGCTTTCCAGGGGAAGTTAAATTGGCAAATTGAACTCTGGGTTTTGAGAGGCATTTGCATTTCCCTAAATCAAGTTGAGCATCACTTCCATTTCTCCACTCACCAGATCCAAAGCTGAACCTGATGCTCCGCTGACATATCAATTGTAGAAGGTTTGGGTGGATTCAAGAAACATCTTGAGAACATGTTTCCCAAATTGAAGCAAAACCAAGAAACATTTCCCGGTGCTGCAGAAACTGATTGCGAGAACGGCTAACCAGAAAGAGCTTCTCCCCTGATTCATCAGTAACCAGCTCGGCAGATCCATTGATGCTGAGCTTGCTCCTCAGGTAGAACATGGTAGAAAAAAGTATGACAATAAGCAGAAACCTTGCCATTGAGACCCATTAAAGCCTTGGTCGGAATTAGATAAAGTAAAAAGAATTGGACGGGGTTTTGATCAAGATACGGTTTGGTCAAGCTTGAGATGTCCGCCTCTGTGCATGTTGTCAGGTCTGCCAACTTGATCTTCTTCGATGGCCGTTCTGCAGCTTCAGGTTTGGCAGGCCTACAGAAGGGAATGGGCAGTCAGGTGGGCTCAGAGATGCTCATCTCCAAAATGAAACCAAATTCAAACAAGGGTGGAACATGGTGGAACATTTTGGAGGTCGCAGTCCTCTCATCATCTTCCATGAAGTCACCATCAATGTTGAAGTGCTTGTTGTGTTCCTCAATGAGCTTGGTGGCTTCGTCCTTGGTTTGCTCGTATTCTGTCCAGCGGCGGGCCAACGACTGTAGGACAACAAGCCGATTGGGCTTCGCCACACAAACCTTGTAGGTCACAGTGGGGGTGGAGGTGCCATTCTCTCGTAGAGCTTGCACCACTGTGTCAAAGCTTGGAAAGTTCGGTAGCACAGAGTTCCCAGCACGACACGATTCATATAGAGCATTTGCAATTCGACTCTGCACCATTCCAGGATCACCGTTCAGGACCACGGAGCCACACATGATCCTTCTGCCATCTGCCACCTCCTTTGGCAATGGGTTTGCTGATTCATGCATTGGTGGTTTAAATAGCAATGGGGAGCCAGGCCAAGTTTAAACAACCATAAACAAACATGTCAGTAAGTCACACCAGTCCTCCAGCACTGCCAATGCTGGAAAGGCATCATAGGTCAGGAGATCCAGAACCATTGTTGTTTGCATGCTCGCTGGGACCCAAGTTTTGAGGGTGGCTCGAACAAAGTCACAACCTCCTGCCACCTTGATGCTCCAGGAAGGGTGAAACAACATTCATCGATTCATCAGGTTGGTTTTCGGCAAACAAATAGAACAAAGGAGAGTGCAGATCTTGAACGACCTTATGATACAAAAAACCTACACCAAAATATCACAATATAATAACCTGCAAGTTTTGACAACCTGCCTGTCGAAGCTCCTGAGTGTCTGTGAACGCTCTCCCCAAGTGTGGGGTTTGGTTGCTAGCCTCAGGACTCAAGCCAAATTGATTGGCACACATTAGCACAAATCTTTGGAAAAAAAAGGGGCATCTCAGAGAAAACGATAGAGAACGTGCCTCAGAAAAGCCAAAAAACGGGCGGCTTCCACATGGCATTCCGAGGAAGCATCTTCACATCACGGATGACAGCCCCCTTAAAGCCAGCTGTTCCTCGGAAGGTGTTGGCTTTGTCACGATGGAGCACTGCAAGGCCAGTAAGGGCACCTTCACGACGGCCGTAGATGGTTTCCTTGGGCTTGACAGGATGGAAAGTGAACACAATACTTTTGCAACCTACTATATTCCCAGCTACTTCACCTTTCAAAAATGACAATAAGCAGATAGGCATTTCCAAGTAGCCTGATCAAACACCCATGTGATGTTCCGAATCAATAAGTTGCGCTCCTTCAAAGATAGGTCCTTCCTGCAAGGTTTCAATTTGTTTTGGATATCTTGTGACATACTTAGTGCATAACTCCAGACACAAAGAGCATTCTAGCGGTTGAGATATCTATGCAGTTTATACAATCATATATAGCTCCAGAAGAAGGAAAAGCGCAAAGAACAACAACAAGAGGAACGTTTTCAAGCGTTTCAAGGGGTATTTGGGCTGCCATTGGCAAGATTGGGTGAAGCGGATGGTTTACATTATTGCCACTGTTTAATGTGTGTTCATTGGTTTGCCTTGCTGATGATGGTAACAGGTAACATATGGAAAACCTTACCTTTGAAACATGTTTGAGCCGGAGACGACATGCAGCCAAGCTTCTCCAGCTTGTACTTCATGTCACGAATGTCAGCGTCTTCATGGTTAAGGCCAAAGTGTTCTTCAGCTTCTTCATCTTCATCATCATCAGGCTCATCCTTCTTGACCGGATCCTCAGCTTCCTGCTTGACTTCATCCTCAGACTCATCCTTGCACGATTTCCTTGCAGGGCATGCTTGAAGCATCAAATGGAGCACTTTTGTTTTCCTCGACTTCATCCCCAGAAAACCACGTCCAAAAGTTGTTGAAACCCTTGAGATAATCAACAGTGGGTTTGTTTGATTGTGTGATTTTGTTTGGTCAAGCTCTATGGACTGGGTCAAAGGAAAGACATCTAGGGAAGAGTGTGGGACAAAGAGGCTCAACCGATAAAACCCTATCCCTATCCTCTCTGCCGATTGACCGCGATTAGGATGCACGATGATGCATACCCCGTTTCTGCGATAAGTTGCCAAGATGTTGGTTATGGCGGTAATCACCCATTCATATCGATGCACTGAAAGCACCCCGCAGGCTGGCAAGTTGACCCAAAGAAATACTCCATGGTCGTCCGCGGCCCTGCATTCTGGAGTGTCGTTGAAGACCTCGTCCACCCATGTCGCGATCACTGGGAGGACAGTCGACTCTGCCTCCTTCGCTAGACCTGAAAAAATCCTCAGGCTCTCGGTCATGTAAGTCCCAACCAGATCCCAGGCTCTCTTGTGAAGCTCCTAGAGGGCACTCAAGTCAATTGGGAGACCTTTGTTTTCTGTAGGTTCATCCTTGCAAAACATGTTTCCCTTTCCATCCCAAACCCCTCCTCGAGTTGTCCAATGAGCTTTGCCCGACGCTTCGCAGTCTCCTTCTCCGACCTCAAAAGAGAGATGGCCGAGAGTGAGGCAGGATGGCACAGTCTTGGGGTGTTGATAGCTGCCCCCTACAGAAAGTAATATCCACCAAAAACAAAACATGTTCTTGACATCCAATCTCAGACTAGCAGCATGATCCGCTGGCTCTCATATGTCACTTGGTCAGCTTGTAGCTGTTCAACCCAACTCTGAAATCCTGCCATCATGGACTTGGAATGCGCGTTCTTCTGGCGATCTTGCGCTTGCACGATGAACTCTTCAATGGAGGATCCACGGATCTACAGGGTAATCCCAAGTGAATGGGTATGTTTTAGACCTTGCAGCCCTATAAGTCCAATTATATAGTATACAAACTTCTCTCGGAGATTTGGAATATTGCAATATGCAAGACACTTAAACTTAAATAGGCTTGAATGGGTACTCCATGGTTCTACAGCCTTGTTACTCCAGAATGAATAAAGCAACTCATGAAAAACACCATATTACGATGTTTCCTGTGGGTGCTATAGGTCTTTGGCCAGGCCTCACCTCAAGTATGAATGGGATGCGTTCCCACTCGAACGGCTCTGCCGCCTTCAGGACGGCGCCCAAATCTGTGTCCAGGCTCCTCGGCCAGGATGGAAAAAAATAGAAAAACCTGACAAAACGAATCACAATTTGATCCCCAAAGCGGTCTTCAAAATGTGACGGGTTTCCCACGAAACCAATCACAAAAGCCTTTTTCTAGAAGCGACCAATCACTTCAATGAACTTATTTTAACTTGAAGAAAGTGATTCCCTCTAGCGTTGTTCATTACAATTGTGACGGGTTTCGTGGGAAACCAGTCACATTTTGGATCTTGTTTTCTGGGTCAGACTTTGATTGCTTTTATTGCTTTGGCGCCAGCCAACCTCAATTTGGAAATTGCGACGGGTTTCGTGGGAAACCAATCACAAAACACTCTAATCATTTGGCTGGCGCCAGCCAAATGGGTTTTGGAAAGTTTGACGGGTTTTGTTTGAAATGTCATGGACCATCCTAAAAGGATGATTTAATGTGAGTTCCAAAGGTAAATTCACAGCCAGGCTTCCCTTTGCTGAACAGTTGTTCATGCTGGGCAACAATGTCACCAGAAAAGGCCTTCTGCATGCGCTCTCGCAGCCAAATCCACAAACAGCAAATGTCATAGAGCGCCACACTTTGCTCATCATCAAGCTGAGCAGCTTTCTACAGGGCGCCCAAAACGGGGTGGGCTGAATTGGTATACATGAGGGACAAGTGGTCACATAAAGTACAGCTACAGTGGTGTGGTGGTTGAAACTTGAACAAAACCCCAAGGTGACCTTCGCCTTGTTCGTTGACTCTTTGTGCACCCTTCTCTCAAAATCCTGCTGCAGCGAGTGTCAAGGTTTAACAGTTTAACAGTTAACAAATCAAAACGTTAACGCCCAAAGTTGGATGGCACACAACTGGTCCTTTGTCAGCCGAGTGAGCCAAAGCAAGCAAGTCTCCCCTGAATTGTGCAGGATCTCACGAAACAATTGCTTGCCCTGATACTTGGCACAGTCTTGACGACTTGTCACCCCTGGTACCCAATAGTCTTGTTGTAAAAGGTCCAGGGGAACTCCTGCAGCAGTCGCACTTTGTTTGCAAAACCCTCCCAAGAAAACTATTATGTAACTGTTTGAATCATACTGTAAGCCCATCAGTGAAAAAACTGCCTGAGGTCTCATGCTTGAACAAGTCGTAGTGATTGTGCAAAAGATTGCCCATTTGTGGTGGTGCCCTCATCCTGACTTTGCTGCAGTGTTTCATGAACCGCTGAACAGCTTAAATCAAAGCACTGAATGAACAGCACAGCCACCTAGACTCAGGCGAGTGTCAAGTTGTATATCAAAGACTTGCGGCGTGTGTCGATTCGATGGGACTTCACGGTACATAACTTGTTGAAATCAGAGACGCACTTGCTTAAAAGATCCTTGAGCGCTTTACTAGTGCCGGGCTTGGTGTGAGCCTGCCGCCGCTCCACAGACACAGCCTGGCCTATGGCGCCAAGGAAATCAAGCGCACTTGGTGATTGCTTCTCGCTCGTCACAAAGCCAACACCTTAATTCAGGCAAAACATGAAACAACCGTGATGGGGTTGGGTTGAAGCCAACTATAGTCAATTTGCATTGGAGGCGCGCAGGGAATGAAGGTAGTGATGACTTGGGTTGGAGAAATAGGTGAAGCTGCAACGAATCCACCTGAAACTCTCCAGCATTTTGGACACTTGTGGCATGTCCAAGACTTCATCATCCCACTCCTTAGGGAAACAGCAACTTCAGTCACCTTGACCAAAAGTAAAGCCCAACTTAGGCAAAAGGAAACTCTTTAAAGTGATGTGTTGCAAGATGTTGACTTGCCATGAATCCAGCTCGTGGATGAAGCAGCAAATGCTTGTCATTAGAAGCACCTTTGTGAATCCATCGTTGAAGCACACCGAGAAAGGATTTACCTTCCTCGAGGAGTCTGCAAAGGGAAACCGTGTCTCCACAGATTCCGCTGACGAACGGTATCCTTGCAAAAACTCGCCGAAGTGTAGTCTGCATTGTTCGGTTTGTGGCCAATCTGCAGGGTTGACATAAAGAAAAGATCAAGACAAGTATGTCAGTATGTCAAACATCAAGACCAGAGTAATTATTTGAGCCCGGCACAGCCATTCTTCGCTGCTTGGCCCAGATGAAATGCACTTAGCGGGAGCCAAAACTCAGACAAGCTGGCTTGTGGAACCAACGTCAATGTTGGCTTCGGATCCGTGTCAGCAGATCGTTCCATCACCAAGCGATTCAACACCTGCGCAACACCGGTCACCCCCATTCATGGTTTTGGAGTTTCACTCATAAATGAACTAAATGGCGGTCACTGCAAACAATAGACAACAGTTAGACAACAACGGCCTTCATCCTCAGATCGAGGTTACCTAGCACATCTTCGACGTGCTCTCCGAGATTCTTGTTTGCAGTGACCTTGCAACAGGAAATAACCCATGGATAGTTCAACAAACATCGGAATCAAGCAGAAGTGGCCACTAATATAGCTTGAAACCAAGGACAGGACGGTTTCAAAGTAAGCTAGCAGTTGTTCGTGGGGATCACCAACTTCTTTTTTCACAGCAGCAGCAGCTGCCATGACTCAAATGTGAGGCACAGCCAGCAAAACAAGAATCTGCAAAAGACCCTGGAGCCAGGAAATGTGAACCAATGTTTCAAGCATGAACCAAATAGACATCACGTGCTGATTTGTTGAAACTTCAATCTACAGCCTCCAAGCTTTTACTCCAAATCCAACACCCCACAATCAGCAAACCCCACTCTCAGCAGCTCTGTGGCATACTGATCATCCCCGAGAATGATGAAACACGACCCGCAACCAATGGTTCATAGGTTCAGGCGGTCGCTCTGGCACTTGAACTTCCGCAAGGCCATTCCCAATCATTGGCCCAGCGTCCAAAAATGCAAGCCTTGAGAAAGGCTTTCTGGATCTAGCCATGTCTATCAAGCTACGATAATATCGCGCGGTTCTCTCAAAAGACGGAAAGTCTTTGGCAATTGCTTCTGCCAAAGCTTCAAGCTCTGCAGCGCGTTCACCGTCTAAGTTCTGGGTGACCACCTCATCTGTGCTATTGATTTGGTTCAGGAACCTTTCTGTGCCATCTAGAAAGGCTTCAGGATATACCAAAAGCGGTGGCTGAATCAATTCCTGGTCAGACATGTACCCCTTGACCATTGCAAACACATCTTTCAATGAGCCAGCTGTTCGAAGACGTCGTGGTAGGTTCTCATCGATTTGAAGGCCATGCCCTTGACCAGGTAAGTCTGACAGGGAAACAATGGAGAGTCCAAGTGCCAATCACATGACTGTCAGTTGGATACTTAATTTTGGGGGAGTTCCAAGCCAAGCCTTGGCGGCACATGAAGGAGAATGACTGGGGAACTTTCATGTTGTTCTGTTCATCCGTCTTGCGACCCAGATAGGCATTCTTCAAGGAAGATGTTGTTGGCATCAGCTTGCACCAATTTCGCACCTTGATGTGTTGGCATTTTGGATAAAACATGGGAGTGGGACCTTGAAAGGACCTTGAAAGACTGGCAGTTAGCTTGTGACTCAGGCAGCTTGCAGACATGCTACCGTGTCGACGTGCTCAATGTGAAGTGCTAGGCCGCTTTTGCTGAACAGGGGGTTGAGCTTCTTTTGCAAGCACCTCCAAAGCAAAATGCTAAGCAAGTTGCCTGAGAACTTAGCGTGGGACATGGAAATCAACCAATGCCATGAAACCTTATGATGTCGCTGGGTGTCAGTAGCTCCTTCTCTGCTCGAAGCGCGGCGGTGACGAGGGAGAAGACACCATCTGAACAGGTGCGTTTTTATATACAAGGGATTTCCAAAGACAAGAATCACATCCATCAGTAGTTGCTTGACAGCCAGCTGTGGTCCAGGCCTATGTCCTCATGCGTGTGTCCCACCACCATATGGTGGTGGGACACACTCTTGAAGTATCCCGACTGGGTCATCATGCATGCCCATTTGCCAATGAAACCATTCTTCAACTCTTTTGGGGTGTTGTCACCCTGGATCCACAGCCTCATTTCCCAGGACAATGTTCTTGTGGTGTCCACATTCAACCCTGGCTTGTAAGTGTGAGTTCAGCCAGGTAACTCTCTCGGCATTTCTCGGTTGAGTGAACGCATCTTGGCCCAAGCATGGTCGATGGATTTCATCAACTTAGAAGATGGGTGCTAGTTCACTCAAAGTAGCATGGCCAAGATTCCAAGACTTGCACTGTCACAATAATTCACTAAATATAGTGAGGCACACATTCAATGGTCCAATTTGATCCTCCTGCCATCCCTTCATCCGACATGTACATGAATATACCCACACCGTGCACAATGCACCCAGTCAAAGTTAAATAGGTCCCTCAGTGAAGACGGCAGTGGGCAATGAATGCAAGGACCAATATGACTGAATGAATTGTAATCAATACACCAAACAAAGGTTACCAATCTCTTCCCAATGGCTTCTTGTGTTTTCGTACAGCGAGCGCTTGGGTGTTCTTCCATTTGGCCATTTTGGCAAAGACATCTTCGCATGGTCGTATGAGTCAATTATGATTGTCATCAAGTCCCTTTGCACCTTGGCCCTCTCCTTGGCCATGTAGTAAATCTGCCTGTCTTTCCAGGTTTGTGTGTAGTGAGCGAGCAGCTGGTCCGAGATCCTAGTTTCTTCTTTGAAATCCTGGGCGGGAATGAGTGTGGCTGCTTTCCCCCTTATTACTTTTTACCATTGACCCATGACATAATATTTTGACACGCAACTAAGATCAACTAAGTCTCACTGGTGTTTTGCAGCAGGGATCGGAGGTGTGCGCATGTTGCGCACTGCGCGTGCTGTGTTTTTTTGTGGAATCGCAGGCAGACTTTCCACTCCCCCACAATTTGGAAAAATGTCGAGCGACATGCAGCTGTCTCTGTTTTTATCCGGCAATAGCTCTGGTATACTAGAAAAAGTTCAGACCACGATGAATGTGGCAGTTCACGAAGCGGGAGTTTGGTGGGGTCATTGTTGAGCCCCACCTGGAGGAAGGGGCTCATCAAGTGGGCGTCGACAAGCCGCTGTAATAGCTCCTCTCTGAGCTTGTCGTCTGCTTGCTTCAAACATGTCTTGGACGCCACCCTAAGATTCGAATATGGACGATTCTATCTTTTCATGTTACACCCAACCTTAAAGTACATGGTGAGACATGGATTAAATAAACTCTTGCAGGACAGTGACTCTTTTGTCATGGGTTCTGCAGCTGACCAGTACATATGCAGTAGGAATGCCCGCACTGAGGCCGCTTGGTGAGCTGGTTTGCCGATCAGTCCTGAGAGATGTGACTCGTGGCCAGGATTTGATTTGGATTCCACACTGGCTATAATACAAATGGATCAGATTCAGAACAACATCAAATGTCACCAAGTATCGACCAAAAGTAGACCTACCGTCTTTACCATAGCATGTGTCTTTGCATCGAGAGAGACGTTTTTTGCCTACTCCGATGAGGTACATCCAGGCAACCTTGCATACGTGGTGTCCTGCATGGAGAATATGTTCAATATGTTCAGGGTAAACTGATTTTTTTTCCAGGCCCAGTGTTGAGATGTTGTCAATCATAAGTTGTGCACACCCCTGCAGTCCTTCAATATACCAGTCTTTCTTGGAACCGGGGTACTCCTGTTGGATGGTCCACAGGACTGTGTCCTGGCCACCCTTTGTAAGCATCCAAAATGCAATGCACACTCGAAGCAGCGATCGAAGTGGTACTCGGCAACGACATTCACACTTTGGTGTTCTCAAAGCACTCTTGAGTCGGGCTTTGGAAAAACCGTTCTTTGCATACTTTGACACAGACCCCCTATCTTTGTTGGATGCCACACCATGCATGCACTCCAGCCGGTGACTCGAGATCTCTACTCGACCCCTCATCTCAGTCTCAGAGCCATCACTGGAATCATCAGAACCATCTGAACCAGATTCAGAAGAATCTGGGTCTGTATATAGAGCAGCATCCAAATCAATGTCACTGCCTTGCCTGGTTTCACAGTGAACCAATTAATAGCTGGTTGCAGCTGAATCTGGCACACACACATTGCAATTGGTAGATTGCAGATGAGGTGCTGTTCATCAGAGTCCGATGACTCCGATGATGTGGAAGAGGCATCATATCGTCCCAAACCACATGTCATGACAACATCGTTGTCAGCATCATAACGCAGCAGGGCCATGGCAGACCCAAAGAATAGACAAGAATAGTAGCACACTAGTATACAGTATACTTGTCTCACTACATGGCTGGTAAGCTTACAGGTATAAACGTTCAAAACACTTCAACTTTCACCAAATGGTTATGCATCAAACTTGAGCCGGTGGAGTACCAAGTTTTGATGCATACCATTGTGCACTGTTGCATACCCATATGATATTGTTGTGCATACCGGTATCAATCCATTTTTCCTCAAGACTGCACCATCTTATCGGGCCGTGTAGCGCCCAGAGCTGCAGCAAGCAGAGCCATCAGCACACGGACTGACATGGAGTTGCCCCCCATGTCATGGAGATCCTGAGATGCCAGAATGAGTTTTCCTGATACAAATAGTTTTCCTGGGTTTCATGCCACACCACAACAAAGTTCTGATTTATGCGTGCTTCTGCATCGCTGACTTCAGTAGTGTTCATCCGATGAAGTGGAAACCCCATAAGGGTCATCACCTCACGACCCAAAAGGTACCGCTGATGATCGCCAAGCACCAGCCATTTTCCTTTGGGCCTCAAAGTGGCTTCACATGAGTTTGTTTGTCTCACTTACTAGTGGTGTCAAGAGGTTCTTCATGGTGATTCAGAAACTGAACAGCTGAGAGCTTGTGTGTGTAGGGCTCGAGCGTTAGGCAAGGAAGACTTGGTTTGTCGGCGCCCGCAAAAGGCATTTGCCGCAGGGATTGGCTTGTGTTGAGCACCTCCACATCTTCATGGATGCTTGTTAGAAGCGCCGCTGCCTTCGCAGGTAGCAGGGAAACAGAATTTGTCGTGAGAGGTGACCCAATATAGAGATCGTTGAAGAGACGTTTACAAATCCCAGCCTGCATTTCTCGATGGGTGGTGATATATCGGACTGCTTTTGGAAATTGGGCCACAAATCTTTTGTGGGCGGCAGCGGCATCCACCTATTCGGATGACATTCACACATCAACTCAATACCCATGAAGCAGTTGATGCCTAGTGAACATGGCTGTCACTCATGAAGCCTCATGGTCCATAGCCCAGTCCCGATGTTGTTGAATCCATTTTGCCGATCGGTCCACTGGCCTGAGGGTGCAAGTTGTTTGAACATGTTTGACCCTAGTAACTTCAAACAAGTAACTTCGGAGTGGAGTGTTCAGCCTAGTAACTTCACAGAATTGACAAGCCGTTGCTCCTCTCTTCTCTTACAATCCTGTTTCACTGCCCAGTGGTTGAACGGCAACAGCAAATCCTGCCTCAGCAACACGCAGGGACTAGACAGAGAGACCCCCAACCATCGCAAACATGTTCAATATCCTGACAAATTTGGTTTGACAAGGGACCATTTGTGTTGGGGCGGTTGACGCATGTCAATCAGGGTTTCCAGGATGTGTTGCTCCAAATCCCCATCCAACTCACGTAAGCAATCCTCACGAACCATAATGATAAAGATCCTGCGCCTGGACAAAGGTTGTCCAAAGAATGTCCTGAGAAGGTATCAAGAACATTTGCCCCGTGACCATTGTATTTCATTCCCACAGAGTTTCCCATAGAAGCCAAGGCTCGGAGACAAAACGAAGGTGCAAACATCATACCTAGGAAACTCCACTTCCAATCGCCCCAGGTAGTGAGCAAATTAATGCAACAAACAAACCCAAAGCGCAACCAAATTGCCCTGGAATATTGGCTTTGATGAGTGCCAAAATCTTCTTGAGGATGGGTTGAAAGCCAAGAACATTTTCAAGGATAATTACCTTAGCAGAGAGCCAGGAGAAAACTGCAATCAAGAAATACATTGAAGATGGAAAGGCGCAATGTCACAAGGTTCAATCTCCAACTCTGGCAAAGAAACCTTTGGACGGTATCGACGAAGCCGCTTGAGGACACGAAACAATTGTTGCGCGTTCACATCGTGCAACATGCGCCTGGTAACGCTCAGCAGGCTGTACGGTGTACAGGGAAAGCCTGCTACATAGGCAGATGCCTCAGAACCCCACGCAATTGCAGCAGTCGTCGCTAAGTTACTCTGATGAAATTCAACTCTCATAGGCGGGCAAGTAGCATCATAGATTGGTAGGCGGTCCGCCTCTTTGGTGAAGATATCAGAGCAGATCCTTTGTCAAATGCCAGTTAAGACCCGTCGATGCCAACTTCCCCATCAAACTCGAGGCAAAAAAATATGATATGATATGACTAAAATGTAACCGCAGTTTCTCCCCAACTCGCCCTGCATTGGCTTTGAGGAACCACCTTTTCTTTGGGTGTATC